ATTGGGAAATCGGCACGGTGGGTATGGTGCTTGACTGTATACCGGCAGGCATTATGAAGTGAGAGCACGGCATCTCGTAAGGCGACAGGAACTTCCGCCAGGTCAAGGGCAGCGGACAAGGCTTGACGCGTGAGTGAGTCAAACGCTCGGCTCAAGTCTATGGATAACATGATTCCGCCGTAGCACACCCCCGCTTTGTGGCCAAGTCGGCGTTGATGCACAGTTTTGACTCCCTCGCGCAGCCGGTGTCGGATGGCAGCGCAATGCTTCGCTACCCGAACTATCGCCTGATCTATGTTTTTCCCAGGAATGTAAGCATACTGCGGAATCCTGTCAAGCAGAGGCTGTATGTACTCCATCAGTCTACCACGAACAGCTAAGGCATAAATTTTCGAGCTAGGATCCTGCAGGCCTAGCGGACGAAGATCACATGGCCTGCGTGTGTCCTTACCTGGTTTGGGTAGTAGCGATAGTTCACAGTGCGACACTTCGGGCGGCACCGGGGCTCCTGCCTGTGCACGAGTCTGCAGCAGACTCGACAATTTGCATGCATACTCAGTCGGACAGAGCTGCCAAATTTCAGTGGGCACACTGGATGCAGGAACCGCCTTACCCTTCTTAAGCTGGGCTAGTGCAGTTTCAAGCTCTTCGGAGGAAAGTGGTAAACAGCAAGGCTTCGTCCCAGCATCCTCACCGGCAGATTGGAATGCCTCGCTGAAAAACTCATAGATCTCCGAAAACTCTTGTCCCTTAGTGAGCAAATCCCCTGTTTTGCTTCTAATTCTGACCCTTTCTCGACGCTTCTTAGGAGCCACCTGGTTGATGATGCGATACAGCTCAGCATAATCATTCCTAGCCGCAGCCTGCTCAGCTAGCTGTAACTTATCAACCAGCCAATGTTTCCGCGCCTGTCTACTCTGGTTTCGGAGTTCCCGGCATGCTCGCTGAAACTTGAGACGCCTGGCAACCGCAGTTGATGCACGGCTGAACTGCCCAAATGGAAGAGGCTGCTGCAAGGCCGAGTGCGCTTCCCACATGTCATGTATCGCACTTACAACCTGAGGCAGTTCCCGTGGCTTAAGCTGTTGCTGTTTCCTGGCCGGGAAGAGCTCCTGACACGCCTTAAGCACCTCCTGATTGAGCATTCTCAGGTCCTGCCCAACCGAGCAAGTGTTCAAAGCTTGCAAGACACGGGTTTTGAGCTGTTGCGCCTTGTCAGTGTGGTTTTGCAGATGCTCTCGAAGATCTTGCTTGGAGTACTGGTGAACTAAGACCGACTTTTTAGCACAACACCAGCCCGCAATCCAGCGAAAAGAGCCCTGAACCGGCCTATGTTTAGGGCCCTTTCTCCAGGGAACTAAATCAAGCGAAAACGGCGCTGACATCTTGGCCAAGGCATCGACCGTGAGCCTTCGCGTCGCCAGAAAATCCAATTGACTGCGAGTGCCACCATTGTGGAACGTGTGTGCCCGGGCCGCCGTGGAGCTAGACCAGGTGTTGGCCATGACCAGGTTGTGGGTCTGCAAAACAGCCTCCAGGTCCACGTCACTGCCTTGGTTGCTCCTCATCAGACCTCGTCCAACCAAGCCAGCCAAAGGTCGCAGCTTGGAATTGAAGTCAGCTCCTATCAGAAGAAGGTTTCTAGCAGGCAGGGTGTGCAGCAGCTGGCTGAGCTTCGTCCAAAAATGGGCTCTTTGCTTCTGTACCTGCTCTCGCTGCCGATCCTGCCAGACCCATTGGTAGCCCGTGATCAGATCAAGATGAGTGCGCTGGCCCTCGCATTTAACATGAAGGATGCGTCCAGGCAGGCAGATGTTGTAACCAATTTGAGAATCGCTGGCTACTCGACCTGAAACAAATATAGCTACTCCAGCATACCTGCATTTGGGATCTGGACTCACCACAGCAGTCCACGAGCCAACCTGCCAACGGCCCTCTGTCTTGCCTAGGCCCCAGTGAATCTCCTGGACCATGATGATATCAAAGTCTTGTTGGGTAGTGAGCCATTGACAAAATACAGCATATGTTTCGCCCGAAAAACCGCCTATGTTGTATGTCATCACTCTGATCCGAGGAGTAGTCCGCCCACGTCTCGCCACCGTCTCCGGACGTACCACTGGAAGGGTGCAGCCCCTGTACGTGGTTTGTAATTCATGGGCTGTCCTCCAGACTCCTCTGTAGAGCGTGCCTCCAACCATCTCTGCGCGCCTTCTAGCACGTCTATACGCTCTTTTGCGCGCATTACTATAGGA